TCATACAGTAGCTTACGCTACCTATTGATCAGACTATATCATAACTTTGGATCAAAACTACAGTATTTCTGTAAATATTCTTCTTTAGTCAACTTTCTACGCTTACCCGCTTGATTCATATCATAAGCTATCTCCACAATCTCTAAAAAGCCCGACCGGTTGAGATGAGCCTTCCTTTCTATTAAATCTACCACTTTTTTAAACTTTGCATAATGAATAGCCTTTTCGGTATACAAAGTGTGCTGATCCATGAAGGGTACTATGCATTTTTTTATATCCCTGAAAGAATCCACTTGATAGCGGCAATAGCTCTTAGAAGAAGTCCCCCGTTTTCTCGTAATTGAACCACATTGATCAAAACGCCGCTTGACCCTAAAAAAAAGCCGCAATTGACTTTTGGTTAAAGCACCGGTGATATGAAAACCAAGTAAGATTCGCTTATTTGCTAAAAAGCTCACTGAAAAGCAGCCGTCTCCATCAATAAGCCCCACAAGAAAAAGGTCTTGCAGGTTCGACCTACGCTGCGTCGAAGCAGGCGGGGTATCAGAGAGAAGACTTTTATTCAAGCTTCCTCTTCGACCAGCGGGAGGCTGCCGAAAGCAGGTGCGACTTCAGGAGCAGCAAATGCAGTCATGGGCAATTCTTGAAGGAGCGAATCAAGTTGGCTTTGTGTTCTTTGAGTAGAACGATTCATGGCGAAACAGAGTTTGACTAATTGCGCGAGCTCTTGTTTATCATAATCTTTCTTCTCCGAAATGGCTTTTACCACTTGGCTGAATAGTAAAAAACTATGTTCTTTCTCCCCATATAATCGATATTTCATAAAATGCGGGATAATAGTATTCCGTAATTGTGGTATTGAGTTTACTCTAAATTCTATTGAATGGTTTTGCCTATTCTCGCAAAGCCCGCCGATACCACCAAAAAAGTGTTTTATCGCTTCAAGGGCGGATTTCGAGGCAAGATCTAAAGTTATAGTGAATGTTGGTTTTAGTTTTATCTGGTTCGCAGAAACAACTTTTCTTTTTTCAAAAAGAACAAAAAAAGAGCCGTCAGCTTGCGTAAGTCCGCTAATATAGAATGGATTCATAAATTCATTACGTAGTTTTTGAAAAAGTTTTTTGGCGTGTAGTCGTTGAGACCCAGTTGAGTCTGCTGATTGGCCCCTGATATTTTCTATTTAGGCGTTCTCAGCATATAGCCAAATTGGTTTATCTTAGATCTTTTTCTATCTAACTCGATAGGCAAAGACTAAGACAGGAGGGCCTGGAAGAGTCAAGCCCACCTCCTGGTTGTAATCGCTCGATCACTTCCTTTTCCACTAAGTGATTGCTTAAGGACCTTAGCATACGATCTGGGCTGTTTCCCTCTCGACCTTGGATCTTATCACCCAAAGTCTGTCTGTATAAACTTCAAATGAAACCGCATTCGGAGTTTCCTTGGAGTCCGGTAAAGCTTTGGGCCACCCTAATCCATTGAGTGCTCTACCTCGGATCATTGACTTTCTTTATACGCTCTGCCTAAACAGATGTCGCGGAAAACCAGCTATTCGAACTTGATTGGCCTTTCACCCCTAGGCACAGATCATCCCCGTATTTTGCCACATACGTGGGTTCGGTCCTCCAAGGCTCGTTAGAACTCTCTTCAACCTGTCCATGCCTAGATCGTTCGATTTCGGGTCAAATGAAGACAACTAAAAAAACAACTTCGCTACGCCTACACTTAACAGCTTAAGCTTGCTGTGTCCATTTACTCGCTGACCCATTATGCAAAAGGTACGCCGTCCCCTTCAGGGGCGACTGATTGTTTGCATCGAAATTCAGGATCTCTTTTTCACTCCCTTTCTTAGGGTTCTTTTCACCTTTCCCTCACGGTACTTGTTCACTATCGGTCTTTAAGAAGTACTTAGGCTTAGAGGGCGGTCCCCCTGCTGTATTTAATACAACGTTCTAACACAAAGGATGTGTTTTACTTAGCAAGCGCAAACTCGTTATCGTAAACGATGAAATACGGGGCTTTCACCCTCTTTGGCACAGTATTCCAAACTGTTTCTAAAGAATACAAAAAAGGTTAGTGCGCTATTAGCCAAATCCGCGTTCGCTCGCCACTACTAACGGAGTCTCGGTTGATGTCCTTTCCTAGTGCTACTGAGATGTTTCAATTCACACTGTAGTTTTCATTCATAGGTTTTCCGAGGGGAGACCCATAGTGCACAGAGGTTTTCTTCCTATGGTGTTTCGCCTAAGTTAGCGTCCCTTTACTTAAAGCCAAGGCATTCTTTCAATGCATTTTATTAGCACCGCATAAAAGCACATCTCCCAAAACAGGAATCTTTGTGTGTGTGATTGTCCTTAGGGAAACCGTCTTCTATGGGTCTTGCTGGCAACTCCTCACCCAAATCGATTGAATCCGAAGATACATAGAAAAATGGATGCAATTAGTTACCTAATTGTTCTTTTGCATATAGAATTGATTCTTTTATGCGAGGATGTAGGTTTATCCAAAAAATTCACTATTGATCTATTTTTTTTTCTTAATTTTCTGCCGGAGGCGCGTTCTTACGAACCGCGACGGGAACATTAACCAAAGTAGCGTTTTTTGTCTAATTTTATGAGACTTTATAAAAATGTTCAAACTGGCGGAAGTAGGATTCGAACCTACAATATTCAGATTATGAGCCTGACGAGTTACCAATTACTCTATCCCGCAAAGAAGAAAGTTAGACTCTAAAGCTTTCTTTGAATACCAAAAGATCAAATAAAAAAGTTGAACATAAGAAGAATGCTCGCATAGAGATAAACTAATCTCCGAAAAACCAAGTAGAAAACCAAGTTCTTAAATTTATTAGTCTTTACGGAAATGAATTGCGGTCTAATACAACAGTCTTTCGACGAAAACTATCAAAAAGCCTAATGAAACGCGAAATCTTTCAAACAAAAGAAGATAACAACCCTTCGCGAGCTTCGCTCGCTCGCACACTTCGCGGTTTGCTTCGCTTGCGCTCGCACGCTTTGCGCCATCGCTTGCTTTGCAAAGCAAGCTCGTCCAACCGTGATTTGCTTCGCTTGCGCTCGCACCGGAGGCCACGGCGAGCTTTGCAAGCTCGCTCGTCCTTACGGACTTTCGCGCCTCTGCTTGTAGGAAACCTACTAACTGCTGACTTAACTTTCTTGTCTTTCACTGCGACTAGCTAACTACAAAAAAAAATACCAGAGCGATGCTCTCATACATAACAAATGAAATATCATTGTTACTTAATCTTGCGGTGCGTTAAAAAGGTACCGGGGTCTCCCCATGTCTCCCAAAATTCACAAATCAGTACATATGGCGTAAAACGATTTCACAGTTCGAGGTCGAAAAGGGTTCGGGTGTTAACACGTTTTACATTTTGCCCGGTTTAAACATTATAAAGTTTGACATATCTAACGTCTTAGAGAATAATTACAAGCAATAACTAAAAAGAATTTCTATAAAAATTTCATTGGAAAAAGGGCAGCTCTTAGATTCATGTATTAACAACGCACGCTTTGCGCATCGCAAGCTTTGCTTGCTCGCTTTGCGACGTTTTCGAAGAAAACCACGCAAAATGGACGAGCAAGCAAAGCTTGCATTATCACACGCGCTTTCGCCTACCCGCCAGACTCGCATATGGGTCCGCCAGGCTCAAGATTCGCTTGCTTGCATTCTCACGCGAAGAAAAACTCGAGCAAGCTTTGCTTGTGACGTTCCGGAGAAAAGAAAATATGCGCGAAACATTTTACTGCTTCACCCGCCAACTCGTGATATGTTTCGCTTGCCATCGAAATGCGCTCACACCGAAGGTTCCGTTAGGTTCGTCAGAATGAGCAAGCAACATTTGTGCGAAACAAAACGAGCTTGCATTGCAAGCGAAGGCGCGTTAGAATCGCTGAAAAAGAAGAAGTACAGACTATATGATATTCGTTTTCTTAACAATACGCGAATCTACCACACGCTTCGCCCCTTATGATACCAAAGCTATAAAAAGAAGCTTGGCAGAAGAGGGACTTGAACCCCCGGCACACGGAGTATGATTCCGTTGTTCTAACCAACTAAACTATTCTGCCTTTTGCTGTGTCTGCACTGAAAAAGCAACAAAGCGTTAGGTGCGAACAAGTAAAGTCGCCCTTATTCGAAGAATAGTTTTTTGTTTCGCAGAAAAAAAAAACTATTCTTCGAAGGAACCATGGGAGTAAACACTTGCGGATAACCAAAACTTTCTTCTTTAGATATAGCGCATGATGCAGGTGGTCAATATGTCTCTGCATTGAATGAAAAATGTCCGCAAAAAAAAATGTCCGAAGGCGCCTTCCTTCGGTGGCTGCAAAGCTTGCGCTCGCAAGGAAGGCGCCTAATCAAAGAATGTCGCTTGCTCGCTCTGACGAACCTACCTAACAGGAGACCTCGAATAAAGTTGCGCCATCGAAATGCGCGTGCTTCGCACGAGCAACCTCCATTTTAGCAAGCGAAGCTTGCGGTGTTCCTTGTCGTTCTTACGAACTTGCAACCGTCGCCGGCGACGGTGCCAACCAAGCAGAGCAAGCTTTGCTTTGCAACCCCGCGAAGCATGCAAGCTTGCGAAGTAAGCGTGGGCGACGGAGACTTACTTTTAAGAGACACATACCCACTAGAATTTATTCCGCGCAAGCGACACTTTAGACAAAGAGCGTCCAGCACCAACCGGGGCGAGTCTAAGCCTTGTGTTGCAGGTTGGTAGCATCTAACTTCCAGCTAACTAAAGTAACATGATTTTATTTAGGCAGAGATTGTACTCTGAGAGAGCCTGCACATTTCTTTTCAGGCATAAAAGAACATAGACATAGTTGTACTAGACAAGAAATAGTTCAAAAATGAAGTACTAAATCTAAAGAAAACAAAAGCAAATTGATAAGGCGCGAAGCGATAGTTTTTCAGAAAAAATTATCTTAGGTACTCTATTCGAGAAAGCAAGATGATGGAACGTTACAGTGAGAAAGAAAAAAGAGACAGTCCAGCCGCAGGTTCCCCTACGACTACCTTGTTACGACTTCGCCTCAGTCACGAACCCCACCGTGGTTTACGACATTTATGTTCATAAATTAAGACAAAAGCCAACAGGCACTTGACTTTTAAAGTATGAACACTTGTCGATGCCTTCGGGCGAAGTTCATTCCCAGGGCGTGACGGGCGGTAAGTGCAAAGCCCAGGTACGTATTCACCGCGGCATGCTGATCCGCGATTACTAGCGATTCCAACTTCATGTTCTCGAGTTGCAGAGAACAATCCGAACTGAGGCAATCTTTATGGATTCGCTCCGCTTTACAGCCTTGCTTCCCATTGTAATTGCCATTGTAGCACGTGTGTAGCCCAGCCCATAAGGGCCATGCGGACTTGACGTCCATTTGTTTGTGTTATAATAAGAGTGTTTATCTCTTATTTCTTCTAGTTTCCTAGAAGGTCAGACTATGTCATCTACTTTCCCAAATTTGACCCTTAGAGAGAGCGAGTTAATTTGTATCTCATTTCTGGTACTTTCCACTCTTAGACAAGATTACGAAAAGTAGCAGCACTACGAGCTCGGATAGAATATAAAGTTTCACATTTTTCGCTGATCGCACATGAAATGTGGTTTCTAAACTAAAATTTTTCAAAAGTAGCTTTTGCAAAGAAAATTGACATGACTTGGGAAAATGTGATACATCAATGATCATACCAGAACCGAAAGCACTATTTGTCCCCCATCGTCCATAAAACAAAGAGCTAAAGCTTCGACATTGAGAGACAAATCGAAGTCTTGTCGAACTGTTTTGACACCATTAGGATACCACACACAGTGTGCGTTCTTTTATGGGTTTAGACATACAAACTTTGTTTCGTAAATTTTTCCGGTCTTGGAATGTGTTTGTTTGCATACTTTTGGTTGAAACTTTTCCGAGAGTACTCCCCTTTTTTTAGCTTGTTAAACTTCCAAAAAAAATATTCTTTTTGTTTAACGGAATGTGCGATATATAGTATTTGGGGGCGATATAGATAGAACCGTCCCCTAAAATGGCACCTATAATCCACGTAGAATTATTCCCCTGACTTTTGGGTACAGTTTGGCAAGTAGCCGGCGCTCGTGGAGAGGTTATTAGTGAAGTATCCTCACTCTTCTAGTCGTTGAACGTACATACTTACAAAATTACTTCTTTAGTATTTTTCGCTGCAAGTTGGCATATGATCAGAGTCACTTAGCGTTCTTGCAATTCACCAGGTTTTTTAGAAAACTATGTCACCATAGTTGAGGACAACGTCTTTTAAGCCAGTATCCTCACCTTCCTCCAGTATATCACTGGCAGTTTTGTGGTGAGTGCAATGAAAAAGTTTTTCATTTAGCAACACAAAATAAGGGTTTGCGCTCGTTATAGGACTTAACCCAACATCTCCTTTAGTCTATTATCTTACAATAATAGTCAGACTATACCTTCATCTTTGCCTACATCTCATGTCTGCAAAGAGCCGACGTCTTATAGCTTTTGCTATCCAGTCAAAAAAATATGTATCTACAAAAGCTCAAATGCTTCGCACCTCTTTTAACTACATACAGTTGACTAAGTCGTTACGGGGTTCAAATTCTAAATCGTATCGCACTCTTGTTCGCGCCTAGAGCGAACTAAAAGATGCTCAAGCTTATATAACATACAAGGAGTAATATAGGGCCGAATCAGATGACAAAAGAATTTAACAGTATTTCCTTTAAAATACACTTTTTGAGCTTGTGCCACTACAATGTATTGATTCCATAATTGCTAAATAAACAAGATGAAACTATTTGAGCACTATCTCAATTAGTTGCAGAAATATCAAGGACCAAGCCCTGCGGGCGCATTGCCACATCTTCCACCATCATCCATAAAGCAAAAACGAAGAGTTTCAGGAGTACAAATAGCTTCAAAGTTAGAAGGTATAAGCTTAATGCCATCATGAAAAAAGGGATCTTTCTTCTTTAAACAAACTTTTTGCATTAAATCGTAAAGGTCTTGTCTCTTTTCTTGTTTTTGGAA